CTTCAAAGCGCTAGCATTGTATCAACTGTATCTAAAGACCTCAACCTCTAGCCTGATACCCTTCAAACTCCAAACTGCGAACGACGGCGGGCCCGGGAATGCGGCAAATTGTCCCGAATCTCTGAATCTGCGACGCTGGCAACGTGGACTCTGCCTGTCATTGTCGTGCCAGCGGCATATGTCGCGCCTGCGTGCTCTCTGGAGCAAGCCGGCCATCTCGCTTCGAGACCAGCGCCGGATCTACAACAGTGTCTTCTGGAACCATTTTCCGTCTACGCGGTGATGAAAGGCAAGCTGTGCAGGCACTCGAGATCGCTGCCCTGGGTGGCATACACAGGCATTCAGCGGCGACTCATGAGAATGTAGTTTCTTGCTAGAATTTTGGCAGATTGTTTGTTGATCGAACCTGCTGTACAGCCGTGATAGCTGAGTAATGATCTAACGATAAAGTGGTGATGATCAACTTTTCATAAATTTGTCATTGTTTTCCCATTCTAGTATTTGCGCTAAAATATGTCTTCGCTCTTTCTCAGTTTCGTCAAACCGTTTATCCAGCAGCGGCATCCCGATTGAAGTTTTCCCGGCAAGCTGATGAAATAGCGGTTCTGAAGACAAAAGCCGAAGCAGTCACAGATACTTTGCAACTCCAAGCAATTAGCAAATCGCCTAGAGCTACCCCCAGTGACCCAGTGCTTGTGAGCTGCTCACATCCTGGCTTAGTGCTTAGCTGTGAAGAAGCCGGAAGTCTTAAAGGTACTAGACCTGATCTCTGTGGAGACTATTCTGGTGGGTCCGGAACTTAGCTGCAGTGGGAGGCCAGAAGCAGAGGATACGAATGTTCAAATCTGCAGAAGCTGTCTGAGGTCACTCACTCCACAAGGCCGCAGCCATGTTCGCCTTCAGAGTTACGGGCGACCGTTTAAAGTGCAGTTGCAGAGAATCTAGTTTCAGGGCTACTGGTCTTTTGCTGTCTTTGGGCTTGTGATCGTCAGACGGCTGCAGGATCTGCGTGCGCTGAAAATTCAGTACATCCCTCAGCATTCCACCACGACAGACTTAGATGGATCATGCATTCGCTTCCCGTTGCTGGGTTTGCAGAACCCGGAACTGTTGTGGCACGGATTCCGGCCACACTGCAACAGTCAGTGCTAGCTGGATGCAGCACAGCCATTGTCACCGGCCACTGAAGGCAAGACAGCAATCCGACCATCGTGAACTCCTGACAGGCAGAAGTCACAGGTCGGCAAAGTCGAAGCCGTTTCGTGGCACGCATCCAATCCTTGCAAACATCTCCAACCAAATCGGAGACCACTGCATGCCGGACTGTTCGGCGAAAGCGATGTTGCTTAATGACAAGAAGCTGCTTTGGACCAGCACGGGTGCTTAAGCTGCTGGTCCCAGCCTCTGGCCTCTGACAACCAGGCAGACAACATCACATCAGTTTGGAATGTTCATGCCACAGACAGGGTCTTCGGATTTCGTGCGCTGCATCGGCCACTGTGGCAGCTGTTGCACCGAGAGACATGCAGCGGAGTATCAAACGAGAATATGCAACTCTTGAGGCACGGGAAAATCGTGGATACCGCCCTCATTTTTGCAGTTGAAGGCTGCCGCTTTGTGCTCTTCTCCGGCCTTGCCGACCTCATTTTTGCAGTCGAAGTTGTCAGGCGGCAGCCAACGAAGACGACACAAGCTCAACAGCTTGGTCACCCTGATGAGGCCAAAGGCCACGGGCCCAGAGCGTTACTTTCGGAGGTGCTCATTCTGAACCATGGCCTGGTTGTACATGTCCATCGTTTGCTTGCCTGTTTGTCCATCTGCCTGCCTATCTGTCTATCAGTCTATCAGTCTATCCGCCAATCTGTCTATCTGTCTATCGGTCTATCAGTCTATCACTCTATCTATCTGTCTATTTATCTATCTATCTATCTATCTATCTGTCTATCTATCTATCTTCCTTTCTGCGTATGTTTCTCTATCTTCTTTTCTACCTATCTATCTGTCTCTATCTCTGTTTCTGTCTCTATCTCTATCTCTGTCTGTGTCTATATCTCGTCTCTATCTCTATCTCTATCAACTATCTCCATCTCTAGCTTTATCTCTGTATCTACCTATTTATCTATCCATGTGTGGTAGCGTGCTTATGCCTCTGCTGCTGCTACAGTTACAACCACCAATCCTGCGACTGCTTTGACTACTGCTTCTGCCGATATGGCATGTGTAGTTGCATGCTGTTGCTCAGGTTCCAACACTTCAGCCTGTACGTCCCGGGGCACATGATCCTCGTCAGGCGAGAAAGCCGTTTGTTGGAGAGCCCCTGCGAGCATTGTCTTCACCTCCTCAGCCTTGCCGAGATAACATTATAGGGAAGTCCTTCTGGACTTTGTTGAGCTAGCCACATGGGGGTTTCCGAAAATCGGGGACCCTAATCTAGTACCCTAAATAGTAGGATCCCTATTATAAGGATCCCAAAATAAGGTACCCCTTATTTTCGGAAACTCCCACATGTGCCCTTGTAGGTCCCCTACTGCCTCGTGTTAACGCAGGATGCACAATGGGCTCTGCAGCTGGCGCTCTACGAGGCAATTTTGAAGAATTGAAATCAGCAAGGAAAAGGAAAAGGCATGTAGTCGCAGGCCTCTATCCACCCAGCGACTACCAAACCTCTCAAGCCTGGCGCTCAAATACCTTTTTTTTCCTGCTGGAAGGTTGGTATTCATGTTTGTTGGCAGTGTGTTTGGCTGGCAGGCTTCTATCTTTTCCAAAGACCATTTTCCTCAGTGAGATTCCAAAGGGGACATCTGCCAAGGCTCGGACATCCAGCAGTTCAAGTTTTCAGCACGTGCTTTTTGCTGACCCGGCAGGAGTTGCAAGCTTTTTTCGCGCATGGTACATGTGCCGAGGCATTGGTTGTCATGAGGTTGCAATGGTGTGGCTGTTGCGAATCAAGTTGCAGCCCCTCTCTGGCATGGTCAGGTGAACTTCCACCTCCAGTCAGATACATCTCACTGGTTGGGAACAACCACAGTCACTTTTCTTTCGCAGGCAAGTGCATGTTCCCTCGAGTCGTTTCTTCATACTCGGACGACGGCAGGCAGAACGCGACAGAGCGTTTACTGACTTGCCTCGTTTCGCGACAGCCCCGGCTTGGCGGAAGCCAAAGCGTTTGCTCTTGGTCGGGAAACTCCTGTGAGGTGCGTGTCTATGTTGGCCCTCTGAGAGATTGGGCTGGCAGGACAGGGAGACACTATGTGGTCCTGGTCACGACTTGTTAGGTCAGGTGTCTCCAGGGTGGCAGGAGTTCGACTCGAGAGAAAGGTTCCAAACAAAGCGTACCTCTTCTTGTAGGACCGACACAGCAAAGATGCAGGCCTCTCTTAAGGAGCACTTCCTGAAGTTCGGTGGGCACCCAGGGTACCAGAGTATGCGACAAGATCATCAGGACATAGCTCTGGTGAGCTGAATGCATCGGGATTGCTTGGCCATCGATGCTCATGCTGAGGCCGAGTACGAAGTTGTCGGGTGATGGTTCCCAGGGGGTTCTCGTGATTGTCTCAGCCGGCGCAGTTTGACTATGATCCAGGCTTTGAACACGTTGCATCTGTAAGGTCTGCCCTACCGTCTGGCTTGCTGGAATGCCATCCTACGGCTGCAAGGGTGGTGCTTACCAACAAGCAGGTGTGGTGCACGAAAGACTTGATAGGCTCCCCACTGGCTCCCTCTTAATACTTAAGCCCTTGCTTGCAAGAGCCTGGCACCGCAAAGGGGCAGGCACAGAAACTCTAAGGATTTCCTTCTTGTAAGAACCCTTGCAGCTTAGGTCCAGGTCTAGGTACTCCCGCAGGCACCGGATCAAGGCAGGATGTTTGTGCCAGGGTGCCAGAGCCTTGAGCCCAGCTAAGCCTTTTAAAGCTTGCGATGCGATGGGCGGCCATTGCCTGGACCTCTGCTTGGGGCTTTTGGCTTATCATCGGGTGAACTCCACAAAACCGCTCCCAGGTGTTTCTGCTTGAAAGAGTCGCAGCTGCAGACTCGACCGAGTCGTTTGTGCGAGACCTTCTCGGAAGGAACCAGGCAGGCTTGCCGCTTGCATGGAGCACCGAAACGGTTGGCGGCTTGTCTCCGAATCTGAGAGGCCGAGGTCAACCGAGAGCGTGAGCTTGAGGCAGACCTAGTAGTGGAGCTTTGCGACTTGCCCTGCTTGGACGTTGGGCCCCCTGCCGAAGGCTACGTTTGCCAACTTCGACCAAGACAGGCTCGGCCCTTTCCCTTTCTGGGTGAACGATGGTCCGTTGAAGCGCTTCTGCCAGGGATGGCGAGTTGAATCATAGCGAGCCTGGGTCTTAGCTCGGAGACGGGGATCCCCCGACCTCGCAAACAACAGGGGCGCATGCTCACATGCGAGGTCCTGGGCCTGGTACCGCTTCCTGGATGAGGATGGCCAGGCCAGGGCCAGAGGGGCCAGGGCCACCGAAACCCTAAACCCTAAACCCTAAACCCTGAAGCTTTGGGACTGAGAAGTGGGAATCGCGCAGGATTCCGAAGTTTCGGAGCAGCACCAAGCCGCCTTCCTCGAGTTTGACCACGACCAGAACGGCAGGTTCTCTCGTGCGGAAGTCTCGGAGCTACTCTCCTGCATGGACAAGGCAGGACGCCAGAACCTCCTGTTTTTGAGCACTAAAGACCCCCTTTTCCGCCTCTTGGCAGGTGGAAGCCTTGCAGGAGGCAGCAGCGATGGAGGAGGAGGATGAGGAAGACTCCGAGTCTGATGCGGAAGATGAGGAAGACGGGTCGGAGGAAGACGACGAGGATTCGGAGGAGGAGGAGGAGGAGACTGAAGGGGACGCAGATGAGGATGTAGAGGACCAGTAGCAGCACGCGAAAGGGCAAGTAGTCTGGACCTTTCGCTGTGCCGGCCCTCTGAATGCAAAGTGACCGCAGTTTCACCCAGACGCCAGAAAGGAGTCGGTCGACCTTCCGAGGGAACAGCCGGTCCATGGATGTGTGTGCATGAGCTGCTGAATCCTGGCGCAGCCAAGTCTAGAAGCTGTTTTGACAGGCACAGTCCTTTCCAGGGCATCGATCGCTCTTCAAAGTCAGCCTTGCAGAAGCAGAGGCCAACGAGACCCGATGCAGCGATCTTAGAAAGAGCGGGCCGCACGTGCAGAACGAAACTGGGTGAGCCTCGTGTGCTCAGGTGCGGTGCCTTTGTCCAAGAACGGATCCTTCTTGGCACGACTTGGCTGATGCGACCGCAAACAGAAACAAACACAAGAAACACTGACATGTTGTACTATTCAAGTCCCAGTCTCGATCGAAGTTGCTGTTTGCTACACAGAGAAGCAGAGACCACTTTGCAAGAGTCGGGATAGTCGATGCACAACTGAGATGCGATGTGTCACCAGCAGCCCAAAGGATGTGGGATAGAATCATCTTTGCGAAGAGGGAAAAACGCAGTCTTGCCCTGCCTTGTCTTGGCTTCCCTTGCCGCTTGTCTCGGACCAGTCCACGGAAGTGGTTTTGCCTCTTTGCCGGTTGCCTCCGATGCGAGGCATCCTCAGAAGCATCGAGCAAAGTGAGAACGAAGATTTGCGAAGGGTGGCCGTGGACACCTTGTTAACACTCCTGATTGGTGGGCACTGGGCCTCAGAAGAAGGGCTTGGAGAGGGCTCGGAGACTCCGAATCGCAATGAACTGCAAGGTGTGTCTTCACTCGATGTCCGGCTAGCTTCGTGGTGGAGGCTGCATCCGGCGATTTGCTTGTGTTGTGCTCTGCTTACTGTGGGAGGTAGGTGCTGTGAAAACCTTGTGTCATGGCCTCAGATTTCACTACGAGGCCCCAACCACCAAAGAGCCCTTGTGATCGTGGGAGGTGACCTTGCCAACGAGACTGAGGATGCTTCGACTTTGGAGGCAGGTCCTTCCTTGCTTTAGATGTTTGGGGTCCAGGATGGTCCAGGGCATCAGGAACTACATGTCATTTTCTACCGTACTGTCCACATCGCTTTGCTCGGAAGATGTGGGTTGGCTTCCCTACGGCCAGCTGTGCCTCTGCCACCCTGTGCGCAGCTATGCTTAGTGCAATGCTTTCGTTCGTTTCGACGGTAGCAGCTGGCGTTGGGCTTGGTCCGGCTTGGTGACCTCTGTTGCATTGCTTTGCAGATTCTTCTGGAGTTGGTTCGCCTGGCTCCGGATGCCATGCTGCCAGACATCGTGGAACAAGGTGCGGGGTGCACGCAAGCCCTAGATTTCAGCCCGAAGACCCTGAGCCATGAAAGACCGGAAGCAGCTAGGTGCCGTGCAAGCTTGCGTGAAGATCCTTGAGAATTCAGTCGCGACCTCAGATCCTTTGCGCCCGCGTTTCATCATTTGAAAGACTCCCAGGGGTCGAGCCCGATGGACCAGCTTTCGGCGTCGCTGACCAAATCTGGCATCGCTGGGTTGTAGGGCAGTTGCTTTCGCCTTGGTTCGGGGCATCGCATGAGGCGCAGGCAGGGAGGTGTGCTGGGAACTGATCCTTCGGAGAAGTGAGGATGAGTAGCAACGGTTGGCATGATCTGCGGGGAGAGCTCGAGCCTCCACGTCGCTCCTGTCAATCGGGCTTCCAAGCTCAACCGTCAAACCTCAACCCCACAGTCCCGGACCCGCACCAGAGGCTCCCAATATCCTGCACCCGTACACTTTCAACCCGAACCCCAAAACCCAAAATGAGAACTTTCCACTTGAAACCCGAACCCCAAACCCAAAGCCTTTTGCGACGTCTCACAAGGTTGAACCTTCTCTTGGCATTGAGCAAAAGAGCTCCCGCACCGGTTGCACAAAGCAGTGCCTATGAGGTTGTGAAGGCAAGTTTGGGGGTTTAGGGATTTTAGGTTTAGGGTGTCGGGTTTGGGGTTTTGGGTGTTCAGGGTTTTCGGTTTCGGGTTTACGCAGCCTGGGTCGGGCGTCGCTAGTGCCGTGCACGCTCTCCACTTTAGTCCCATCTTTGCAAGGTTCGGTTTCTTTGGGTCTAAACCCTAAACCCCTAAACCCTAAATCCCTAAACCCTAAACTCTAAATCCTAAACTCTAAACCAAAAAACCCTTAACCCCAAACTACTGGGGTCCAGGATGTTGGTATCGAGTTGGGGTTGGTAAGGTTCGCCTGCGGGCTCGCTGCATTCTCCCGCCCTCAGCTTGCTTTGGGGTTTAGGGTTTAGGGTTTATGGTTTATGTTGCGGATTTGGGGACTTGTTAGGGTTTGGGGTTTCGGGGTCCAGGGTCTATTTCGTGTTTCGAAGATTTTAGGATCTAGGAAAGGCGTCTCGAGCGGCGCAGGTGTTGCAAGCCATGTGAACCAGAACCAACTTGAGTAAAGTGCCCGTGATACTACTGCTCATTGCGATTACTACTACTATTGTTGTTGCAAGTCGACTCTTCATGAGAGTGCCGATTCCAGAAGCACACGCTGGTAATGTTTGTGCAGCAACTGGGAGGACATCACGAACGTTGCGCTGGTTCCACGAAGGAACAAGATCATGAGAACAAGCCTCAGTCTCTCCACGCTCCGTGCACGTCTGTGTCTGCGTGTTGCAGCATCAAGCACCACAGGTTTTCTTCGTCCTCTTGTGCAGCATGACGGTGATGTTCCTCCGCTTACAAATATCAGGACAGCTCAAGATCGTTTTCACGCTTCGACCCTAGGCAACCGAGTGCAGGACTGGCGGCTTAAAGTTCTGACGAGCCCTGAGCTCGACCGCGGATATGTGCAGAGGCGGCTCTGTCGACATCTCCAAAAAGGGGTGCTTCTGGCGCGAGTATTTTGTACACTGTGCTGTTTGAAGTTTCGTGGCAATGCAAAGCCAAGCGCTCGCAACAGCGAAGCATCTTCCTTTGCCAAGATCCTTCCATTCCGGCAAGCAGTGCTTCGGGACGGAAGCTAAAAGCTAGCAGCTAACGGCCACGACTTGTAGAGTTAGAGGTCCCACATGGTCTAACCTTCACCTCCAGTCACGAAAGAATGAGTTGACCCACTAGCTTGCATGCTTGTCTTTGAGCGAAGTGAGCAACTCTTGAGCATCTCAGCTGTCAAACCTGGCAAGTGCGGCTAGTCCGATTCCTCCGAGATGTGCCGCTCATGTGACCCTCCCGTACCGCGTGTGCCATTTGGCACGGCGGAAGATGAGTTCTGCGAGCAACAGCCTGCAGTACCCACCTCATTCTTGCAACGGGCAACAGAAGCCGCATCGGCACAGCGACACTGTCGAGACGAGTGAATCCAAGGTCCTTGCTCAGCCTTGTTCGCACTGCCCAGCAGCAGCTGGCTGTCGATTTGAGCGACCGCCAATTTCACGATCATTACGCTTCTCGCATTCAGGCGAAGTGCTTGCGAGAGGTGCAAGGCCAGAAGCATGTCGCAAACTCCTATCGAAGGCAGTCTGGCGACGTGCAGTGGCACGCCAGCGGGTGGCAAATCTTGCTCGGTCCCAATGCTTGCATACAGCGTGGTGAAGCGACACTTTTAGCACCCAGGTAGCATGCAACTACACGGAGCGCTTGCTCAGCACATGTTGCGAGCAGCTCACCGCTCGAATGCAAGCGAAGGCTTTGCTGCTCGAGCAGCAAACTGTGCAAGCTGTTCCCGTTTACTCTGTTCAGGCTTTTGTTGCAGCCCGAAACCATCAAATTCGACGATTGCGGGAAGAAGTTACGAAGTTCAGGCTGGCATGCATCGAAGCGCGCCGTTGTTTTTTTGCACCTGCTTCTCACCTTCTGTCCCAGTGGCTTCGTGTCCTACCTCTACCGTCGAGAGCGCGAGATTCAGATCCAGGAGCCGTGTGAGTAGGGGTTTGTTTGGCTCGAGAGACAGCAAGGGGCGTTGCGCATTTGACCCCTAGCCAAGATCAGCCGAAGGGCCGTCGGTCTGGCTCCCTCCCTCTCTCTCTCTCTCCGCTCTCTCTCTCTCTCGCTCTGTCTTTCTCTCGCTCTCTCTATATGGGTTTACATCATATACATATAAAATATAGTATTTAATATATACATATATATATATTATATATAATAATAATAATAATAAT